TAAAAAGACTCTAAATCTTGGAATGCTATGGAGCTGCTGGGCCTTTCATGTCCTATCTGGCTCTGGAATTCTTACACTTGAGACAAGAAGAAAACTTCCATCCAATGTAAGCCACTGTAATCTTGATTTCCCGTTATTTATAGCTGAACCAATCTTGCCTGAGGTATCACTGTATATAGCATGGTTTTACCCATTCACGCCAGGATTAAAATGTACCTTGAAGGCAGAAGATAACACCAAGGACTTGTTTTAGAACTGCATTTTTAGAGGACAGATCTTGGGCAGTGGAAAGCACTGCTCAATGATATTCCAAAACCCAATTCCTTTTTTGAAAAAGAAGTGGGCTATTTCAATGAAACTAAGAATGTCAAATAGCTGACTAGACTACGTGACCTTCAGGTGCTTTTGTTTCTTTGAAATTGGGGTTCTAACAGAACTCAGCCAAATGCCTAATTTAAGAGCCTTTGATTCATGTGAGATGTTATTAGTTCCTCAGTTTGGTAAAGGGACTTCTGGTGACCATGAAATGTTAGGCTTAACTTCATTAAAGAAAAGGTCACTATAAATTCTGTTCTTGATATCACAACTATTCTATGTTATTTTTCATATACAAATGGACAGTGATCAATGTTTTAGATACTGGTGAAATTATTTTTTCTGGAAGTGGCTTCTGTTCAGTAGAAACAACTTTGGGATAATACAGTGCAAGGAGCTGACACTACATCACTTCATTGAAGACAGCAGTCAGGATGTCTGTCTACCTGCATGTCTCTATGTTTATCTCTGAAGAGTAAAACTTACTAGTCCTGCATACTGCCATCAGTGGAAAGGCTCTTCTCCTTTAAATTCCATCACACAAACTTGTTTTATTGTGAACTTTCTACATTACTCTTTCTATAGAGTAATTTAAGAAAGAAAGCCAAGTGCAGTTTACTAAGGATTTCCTAGAGTGAGGATGATATGGAATTTGTGTACCCGCAGATGAGAAATGCCCTATGGGTTATTAGCCTTAAGACCGGACGTTGCTTTCCCAATAACACAGAGCCTCGCTCCGCGGGAAATAGGGGATGGCTTTCCATGTGGTGGGAGTTGAGGCCACTGAAAGGCCAAACCAGGGCCATTCATGTCCCCAGAAATGTCTTATCACAGAAGCCAACACAGGCCCTGAAAGAAGTGAAGCTCACAGTCTACCAAGTCTAGCACGATGTCTTGTACAGAGCAGGTGCTTACTTGTTAAATGAAGATACTTGCACAGGTGGCTGGTAGGACAGTTTGTCATCTTGCAATGCAGGAGTGAGGTAAGGCAGACATCCCCTGCTGGGTGTTCTCATTCCCCGGTGCCAAATGTGATGTCTTGCATTGGGCTTCCCTGCGTGGAAGTGTGTGAGACGCACCCCTCATCTCCCTGCCTGCGTCTCCCGCTAGGGCAGACTTCCTTAGGAGGACTGCCTTTGATCTCCGCAGGCTCTGCTCCCGGGCTGCTGCCTGGTCCACCGAGAGTCTCAGTGTTTGGAGTTGGGGAAGAGGACAGGCATGGCTCCGGAGCTGACCCAGCTCAGGTTCTAGGTTGTTTGAGTGCCTTGAGGGACGGAGAGAAAGGGCTCCGAGGACCAGGACAAACTTTGTAAATTCCACGATTTTGTCCAGTGTTTTAGTAAAATAAACTTTTTATGGTGCAGTGTTCAAGCGGGGGGAACTGTTTCACCCCATAGCTTGCTGTTGTCCGCTCTGTAATGCCATGTTTCTCGGTCTTCCCAGTCCTATGCCAGAGCCCGTCTGCACTGCCCACGCTCCCCTGCACAGCTGGGGTCTGGCATGGCACGGTCTTCAGGTCAGGCCCTGTGTCACCACTCACTGCCTCTGGGTCCCAGAGCTAATTGCTCTGCTTCTCTGCGTCTCATTCATTAATCTCTACTGTGGTCATGATGAGGGTTAGATGACACAGAAATGTAAAGCCCACAGCCCTGTGCCTGGCAGGTAGGAGACTCTCGGTAAGTGCTGGTGTGCCTTCACCCTTTTATTCCTCTTTCAGCCTGGTAGGTCGGCCCTTGCCATCCTCCATACCCTGCTCACCTAGGTACTTAGCACCTTTTCCCTGGTGTCTCAGTGGTTGCTGTGTGCTATTTCTCCCTTGGTCTCTCAATCCTATGGGAGCAAACTGAAGACCTTTTAGTCTTCTTTCCTCAAAGCACCTAGCGTAATAACTTGCATACACTGAGTGTTTAAAATAATGGCTTGATATACTCAGGACAGTTATCTTTATGTAGAAATCACTCAGTTCTTCTTTGGATATGGGGTTCTATTTGGTCTACTTAGGGAGGGGAATAAAGGTTTCACTGTAAGTGTCTGACCTCACACGATGTTGGGAGAATTCTCGGAAAGAGTTATAAATACCTTGTACACTACTCGCTTTTTAATGACTACTCACATAAGCAATAATAATAAAGTCTGTGAAATTTAGTCACAATTTTGAAATTAAAAATGCATAACCAGAGGGGAGATACCCCAAAGGCAAGCCAGGCCATAGCTATTGCCCCCAAACATCTTTGTCATCACTGTCCTTCCTTAAGTTACACAGCATGTGATCTCAATCACAGGGTCATTACTTTACAAACGAGGAGGGAGGGACTCTTGTGAATGTGAAGAAGTCACAACTAGCAAATGCCAGACCTGGGGTCTCTGACCTGGCTTTGTCCCTTTGGTGGAATCCCAGAATTAGGTTTAAGCCAAACCTGGCTTGTTACAGAGGCAGCTGCCAAAGGAAGTGGTTTGAGGTGGTTGAGCCCCTGTTCCAAAATATCCTCTTTGCTGGTACCTGAGAGGGATTTCCATGTGTCTGGAGACCTTTTTGATCTTTCGGAGGTTCCTACTTCAAGTGAAGAAATAACCTTAGCCAGCATTCTACAGTTGTGGCAGAAGGGGCTCCATGCAAGAAGGGGTTCTCCGCTTACAGCTGACCCCGCTCTACAGCGTGCCACGGCTCAGTGTACGGGAGCTCGCGGAAGGCCCCGAGAAGGCACGTGGCAAAGAAGTCTGTTCAACTTAACTCAAACCTTTTCACTTATTCAACGATGAAATTACTATTCCTCTTCCCTGTGGTAAGATGCCTGTAACACCACTTGAAACTAGTATTTCAGAGAACGGACCTCAGATATGCTGCCTTCACTGCTAGTAGCTGTCGCCATAAAGGTGATGAATGTCCACTGGGATGGGGACCTGTGGGAGGGGGAGTCCAGAGGGATAAGAAGAACTAACGGGGCCCATGAGGGCCTTCAACACAGTCTGATGGTCTTGCTAAGGTCCCTCTAGGTTCTCAGTCCAGACAGTCTTTAGACCTTGTTTTCCTGCTTCAAAAGCCCAGTCATTATGAAGGGACGAGATGAGACTGCACCATTTTTGCATCTTCATGGGATCTCAAATTATCTGCTGTTGTAGGAGGAAGAAGGGAGTGCTTGGACAGTGACACTCAGTTGGAAAAAGAGGAAGGAAAGGAGCAGAGCATGGGGGAAGAGGGACTTTGCTATGTCAGGCAGGCAAGATGTTCTGGAAGCAGGAGGCAAGAGTGGAAGGCAGTGGGCGAGATGGTGTAAAGAGGGAGTGAAGATCGGTGACAGGTCAGGTGGAAGCTAACAAACTGTCCATGGCAAGCCAGGGTTAGGATAATAACTGAGCCAAGGGTTTTCAGCCAAGGGTTTTCTTTAAGAATGCTCTGTCTACCCCGCGATGCCAGGATACTTATTCCTATCCATAGTATTCCGCCCTTGGACCTCTCATGGCCCAAGGGTCCGGGCCCCTGCTCTTTGTTGATAGGGCCCAGTATGAGATCCTATTAATGAGCTGCTACTTAAAAAATCACAGTGAATTGAAAGCCCAGGGACAGCCAGAGCACAGAGCTCAGATGCTGTGCAAAAGCCAGAGTTGGGAGGGGCTTCTTCTTACCTAGGGCTGTCAGATGGTCCACTTCTTGTATGCAAAGCAGCTGGGAGATCTTTGGTAAACTAAGGCAACTTAGAAATGCTGGAAGCTGAAGGGAAGATCTGCAGCACATTTGGGAATTTTTCTCTCATGCTGAAGGGTAAAATTAGCTGATTACTCACCAGAGTGACTTTTGTAAAAATCATGTAAAAGCCCCAGATGTTTTCATCCTATCTATTATTATTATTCAAAAGGTGGAGGCAGATGTGGGATAAAATAGGGCCAAGGCAATAAGACAGCTCCCTTTGCAAGAATTCAGAGTTTTCAAGTTGCTGCTCCATGGCAAACCTAACTCAGAGATGTGATTCTGCCCAGGAAGAAGTTGTCCTCTGGGATGGTGTCTTGCCTACAACTGATTTATAAATACGTTTTAAAGTGAATCTCTTCTCAAGGGAAAAGGTTCAAGTGCTATGTCCAACCTCACAGAACGGGGTCCTTGATACAGACAGTTCTGCTTGCTGAAACGGTGGCTCTGGCATCTAACGCTCTTCTCTGAGTCCGCAGCAACTGCTCAGAGGGCACGAGCTCACAGCTCTCTGCATCATCAGCAGGCCCCAAGCTGGTTTGGGGTGTATGAAGTTACTCTAGAGCTCTCACTTTTTGCACAAATCAGAATCTCACCAGAACCTAAACAACCTCTGGGATCAAGGGCACATCAGGAGGGTGTCCAGTGGATGTGTTTTTTTGTGTTGTCGTGAGCCTGGGGGGGAAATGACACTGACCCAGTGTTTACTTGCATTTACCTTATTGACACCATTTCTCTGAGTGTGTTATACAGTTGGGATGGTTTGGATTGTTTGAATGGAATAACATGATTACCCATGGTATTGCACGTCTTCAATTGCAAATGAACGCAATGGCAAAAACTAGACAAAAATGCAGAATGAAAAATAAATCACACAATGTCACTGAAGTCATGCAAAGAGGAAAAAAAATTAAAAAATGGGCAAGCAACAGACATCATAAATGAAAAAACAGAACAGAAAAGAAAAAGCCAATGTATACAATTCTAAAATCGTTCTTACCTTCTTCAGTCATTGTGTCATAATATTTTAGCTTTCCATATGATCCAAGTTCTACAACATCACAGTAAAAGACACAAAGATAAGGAACGAGCTATAACGCAAGAACTTTGTTTTTACACATTCTTAATTAATCAGATTCAGAGTTACACTGTCAAATTCTGCAATCGTAACTACATGGAGATGTGCAAACATGGGCCATGTGGCAGACAGCTTTCACGGCCCATTTTCAGAAATCACTTAAAATATATTATTCTACCAAGGGTAGGATGTGCCCTGCATTACAGAACAGGACACAGTTATTTTAACATCCACTGAAACAGAACACTTGGCAAAGATACTTCACCCAGCCCTAGCTCAGGCCTGCAATTCTTATGGAGGTGATGCTCCAGGAACAAAGGACTGCACAAGGACAGTGAGCAGGCCCACGGAAGCTTGCAGACACCGGGCTTCCTTGGCATGGTTGAGCAGGCCCACAAGCCCACTTCACAGCTTCTTTTCAACAGAGATCACTTCCTGGAGAATAAGGACTCTACCAGGGAGAATCCAAAATGAAAAGCCAGGGCTTAGACTTCCCTTCATTCTGCATCTCCTGATTTAGGAAACACTCAGGGCCATGTGTGCAGCGTGTGGGGAAGGCTGTAAATGGTGCTAGGTGTTCTGGGAGTGAGAGCAAGGCATATTCCCAAGGACAGCGCCTGGCTCAGACATGCGACACCCCCAGATCAAGGCCTCACTGGCTGTGCTAGAGCAGCAGGCCCGGGTAGGACCCGCAGCCCCTCCTCTGAGGGCAGGTGGCCCTGGTCTGGCTTCAGTGGAAACCACTGGCAGACTCTGCTGTTTCTCTCACCAGCTGCTGGCACAGCAGCGGGGGTGAGGGGAGAGAGGAGGAGGGGACCACCATTTCTCTTTTCTTACTGCGGTTTGAAAACGGAAATCTTTATTTTCGTTGGTCCTAAAGTTCCAGATTGTTTTGGGCAACCCTGTGAACAGGTTAAAAATATTGTTCTTGATCATAACAACATTTTCCCAACAAACTACAAAGAATTAATTATACTCAAGAGATATTCCTGTGATCCTGCAGGACACTTCTGCGTCCCATTAACTTGGGCAGAGGCTGGAAACCCACATATGAATCAACCAATAATTGAAGAGTGTATATACAAGATGAAGAATCTAGCTTAAATCAGTAATAAATATATTGTATACTTATTTTATACATTCTGTATATATTCCTTCCCCCACATGCTTAAAATTTTACCTAAAGCTATTTTAATACACTACCACAAATTTGGTCTTGGGGAGAAAAATCACTTCACTGTTACGTTTCTGCAAAAATGTGCTTATTCTTGATTTTGTTAGGTACATTACAAAAGATGCAGGTGCATCAATAAGAAACTGAATTTTGTGTCAATAAGAAAAAAAGTTTCATTAGTTCTAGGGATTGCCTTCAGTAGAATGTTTATCTCTGGTATTTTAAGAAGAGCAATGTATTATATATACAACACTGCATAAGTTAGGAATTCTTAAGTGATCTAAATACCTTCATAAATATTAAACACATGTTTACAGTGGCTTCACACATAATGTATGTGCGGTTGTTTTTTTTTCCCAGTACCGGGAATTGAACTCACGACTTCGCACTTGCCAGGCAGGCGCTGTGCTGCCGAGCTAAACCCCCAGCCCTCTGTGTGTGTGTGTATAAAACCTTGCAGTAAGATGATGGATTATATGAGCCAAGTAATATTTTTGTAGCCTCTTTTTCTTCCCCTAAGTAAGACAGTGGAATAAGCAGCTGGAATTCACTATTATTTGCTCAGGAAACAGACTGTGGGTGGTTTTGTATCTGCAAAGTTGGGTGTAAACCATATTCTGTGCAGTGAAGATATTCCGCTGCATTTCTTTATGGGTCCATCTTTTTTAATAGAATCCCTTCCATATGCAAATACCTGTTTTCACGTATCGGTCACAGACTGTCAAACATCTATCTGTGGCAGACGATATTGTTTCCAACCCCATATTATGGGAGAATCAGGTATAAATAAATACAATCATATCATTGTTTTGTCAGTTTATGTTTACAAAGTCAGAATTGGATCTGTTCATGTTCAACAAATGCATATATTCTTGCCGCTGTGGCAATGTAGCTGCTTCCTTGGATGCCGGGTGGGACAGAAGGACAAGAATTGGACACAATGTGCCAAAAAATGAGGAGGACAGTGGTGGAATAACAGTGGTGAAAAGCTGCAGAATGACAGGGACACGGTAACTCGAAGCACAGCAATGAAGAAATGGAAGGGAAGAGTGTCTGCTCCGGCCAAGGCAACCACGGGTACAGCTTAACCAAAGAAAGGGCAGAAAGGAAACAAGCCTGGTAGAATGGAGTCTTCAGCAAGGCAGGAATGGGCGGTAAGATGGCAAACACACCGTCCACACCTTGAGGAAGCAAAGCACTGTGACCAGGACCAGGCAGCCCTCTCCCCCGAGTCAGAGCCTTGGAGGGTCCAGGACAAGGACTGCGACATGTGACTAGGGCAGACACGACACGTACATGTGCCCGAGCTTGTTACACACCTGGCCGTTGGCCTACAGCCAGTGGTTGCCTCCTAGAAAGGGGCTTTGGCCAATGTCCGGGCACAGCCTGTGACGAGGCCTACCCTGGCTGAGAAGGTCTGGGAGGCAAGAATGATGGCTCACCTGTGCAGCAAGGTGGCTTCCAATCATCACACTCCCCACAGCGAACAACCAGGACACCCCGCCTCATTGTAATTAGGATTCAAACTGGGCAGAAGCGAAGCTGAGCTTCTTTAGTACGGGAGGGAGGAAGCTCAGAAATTCAGGAAGGTATTGTTCAGTCCCGTCTAGCAACGTTCCTGCAGCAACTGAGCACGAGGCAGCCGGGACTGGAGAAGTGGTCTGTCACATGTGATGCCATTCTGGGTACAACGTGGTGCCTCTTCTCTCTAACATTTCTCTGTGACTCAAGAGAAAGTTCCAGGGCTTGAGGTGAGCCTATAATCTGATCGTGACAGCTTTACTTGCTTTTGGGCTGTGTGGACGGGTGGGACGTAGGTACCCGATCTTGTAGATTTCTAGGGGGACTGAATCTTTCCTTAGTTCTCTGTCCACTTGCTTCTGGCCTTGCCAGCAATCTTCCTACCTGGCTTAAGGTACCTTTGAGTTGCTGTCTGTACTTTATAATTAACAAAACCAAAGGAAGGGTCTCGTCTTAAAGAATCTGTAAATAGGAATTAGTATTTAGAGCTTCTACGAATTAGTATTTTGAACTTCTCCCTTTGCTGAGAAGTACACAAACAGATTGTTTTCCTTCCAACACTGCTTTTCTCAGCTGCAGTTTTGAGGCCTTTGACATTCTCAATACTTTTCCTGCAAATCCCAGAAGTGGAAGTAGCAGAAAAATGACTTCTCTCATTTGAGGCCTCAAAAGTCTGATGTGGAAAATGTAAAAATCAATAGAAAGATTCATGGTGAGTTCATTTTATTAGACTGAAAAATAGAGATAGAGAAGTCAATGACAGCAAGCATTTATTATTTAAATGTTAACTGCTGGGAAAAATTATTGTTTTCAAAGAGCTAGGTTTATTTTTGGTATTGGTTTGAACTGTGTGTGAAGACACAAAATGAAAGCTTTCTCAATACAGACAATATAGTAGCTCCTTGGTTAAGCTGTCTAATACTTACCAAGGAGGTGTGTACAAATACTGGATCCTCTGAAGGTTACTTTCAGTAGTGCATGGAAGTGAAGAATATGGCTTCTGAAGTCAGGGTTGTGAATTTGGACCCGAGATCTGCTACTTAGTAGATGCATGACTTTGACCAGGTTTCACCTCTCTTAACCTCAGAGTCCTCAACTGAAAGGGAAACTGCGATGTATCCGCCTCACAAGGTGTTGGGGAAGGGCAGGCGAGACGACACACTAAACAATTCGAAAAGCTGCCACCATTGCGAGAACCATAGAGAGTGTGAAAGAGAACCAGTGTGGCCAGGAGCAGGCTACGGAAAGAACTTGGTGATTTTATCCAGGCTTAGTAAAACGAATTCAGCACGATCTAGAGAGGTTTTTAAGTGGGGATTGTTGTTCACCAGTAGCAGATATTCTGCCACTCTGTGGCTAGTATTTTAAAAATACCCCTTCATTAATCCTGCAGTCTACTCTAAGATCCAGGGGGAACCACGACACGGAGCACAACCAGGAGCAGGATGTGGAGTGGCCCTGCACTTCCCTGCCTGCTGGAGCTCAGCTTGGAGCCCAGATGCTTTCTCTCGTAACCTTTGCTTGTGCCTCCATCTCCCCAGCCAGGCCGTCTGTCACTGGAGGCAGAGATTCTGCTCCTCTTTAGATCCACCTCAGCAGAGCACAGATCGGTGCTGTTTTCACGTCACATGCTGGCCACACATTTCTTAAATAAAGCATCCAGGTGCACAGCTCCCCAGATGACAGTGACATGCAGAATGTGTGGTCCGCTGTGCTTCTCTGGGCTTGCTGAAGTCAAGAAGTCTGGCACTATGTCTGAGGCGTTTTGACTGCTGGTCCTATAACGTTACCATGAAGGCTAAGAGTGCTTCTGAGCAAGGCGGACCAGTCAGCACTCAGCACGTGGCTCTATTACTAATGAGCCGGCTGATCCTCCCTGAGTCTCAATCCTTTAAGTGCAATAAATTACTATGAACAAGAACAATGAGAACCTGCACAGCTCTTTGCTGCGGGGTGGTAAAAACATATTTAATAATTGGTTCCTCTCTTCATCATCTGCCAAGGGTCTGCTGTGAACACCTCAAGTCAGCTCGGTGCAAGGTAGTCAAGTCCTATTCGCAACACTGCTGGTCACCCTAGGCGGTACCAACCTCTGCCCTAACATATGCAAGTCATCGGAAGCCCCTACTCCTCTTTCCTGCAGCACAGGAAGACGGCTGGAGGAAAAATTCTCCCTGCGCTTGCCACAGGCTGCCTTGCCTAACTTTCAGAACCATGTTTTTGCAATATTAACATTTTATTCTGAGCGTAAAGGATTTTTTTTTGCTTACTTTATAAA